ATTATAACATACAAGTCTTTTTTTAATAATACTAAGTTGACGAACAGGTCGCGCTCCTGGTAGCAGCAACATGCCTGTCCATAACAGTTGCATAGCCATTCAGAGCTTTAAGTCACAAAGATCTAAGAGACACCCTGAGATATAAGTTGACAAGTCCCACGTGCCTGCAATTTCACAGCATCCTTACGGTAACCTATCACAAACTCGAATTTATTTTTTCCGAAATAGCGTTTGTTCGAATTTTCATTACACCGAAAACCGAATTATAACGAAACCGTTGTTCTTTCAGGACATTTTGGATGTTTATCGCAAGGACACGATTAGGTTCGGTTAGGTTAGATTAAGTTAGGTTTAAAAGAAAAAACATTTTTCTCTAAATTGCTTTCCAGGTTATGAACATTCGAGCTAACGTTATTTCTAGAAAATATCATTTCGGACGTCTGGTAGGTAACCCATCCTTATCCTTCGAAACTGGAACGCAGTAATGCTCACATTACTGCTTGCCGGCAGAAAAAGGTGACAGTAATTCCCTGGACGAACTCTCTCACAACCAGATCTTTTGTTACTAAAGTCAGTTTTTATGTCGTTCAAAATTTACATGAAAAGAAATATTACATTGCATTAATGTACATTCTTTGAAGTCATAAAATTGTTATTCCAGAAGCCTCCTCTTTAACGGATGATTTTTGGATTTACATTATATACTGATGCTTCCATTATGTAGCCTGAACTAGCCTGTCGAAGAAACTTCGTCAATCCTTCAATTAGAGTGGTTACACATGGCGATTGCATCGTTACTAAATGTCGCCGTGTGTAACAGCTCTTACCACCTGTTGGTGCACGAAAAAGGCCTCCCCGCATGACATACTATTCCTTCCGTGAAAGTAAATATGTATGTCCAAAAGTAAATAATTACTACTGTAAAAGAACAAATAGGTATTTCTTGCCCATTTTATTTAATAAATTTGATTTTTTGAGAGACCGTGATATATTATCTAAATTCATTTTAAAGAAAAAGTTAAAATCTTCTCTTTTAGTAGCCATTTAAATTTAGCTTAAGTAAGTACATTGATTTTGTTAAACGTAGTAAGTAGGTATACTATAGTCTCGAGATTGTGAGTGTATCCTTGCCAACAAACTGCTTTCGCAGTTTGGCGAGAAATTGTATTATGTATTTTTGTATGCCTTTTGTATAAAATAAATAAATAAATAAATAAAATTCCCTGTACGTCTGGCCACACTGGGCAACAATCGGCGAATACTTTACGCCGATTAGCAAACCCTTTCACCACCATGTCAAGCATTATAGTGTATGCCATCTATAGAATAAAATATTAAAACCCCCTGTATAAGCTGTGTGTGTGACCACCAAAAAAAAACTAATTCCGTACTAGTAACAAGAAAGTTAGAACGTAATGTTTTTACTTTATGAACTACATGTAAATTATCCATGGGAGCATATAGGGTGACGCTATTTGTGACCAAAAACCTCTTGTGCTAAAATTCACAAATTCACTCAAAACCCCAAAAGTGACCGCAAACTAAACTCATTACAAACAACATTGAAGGCGTTCGCTGTTAGAATGTAAATAGTTGTTTCGCAAAGCGTCCTCGGAACGCTGCGTAAGCGCATAACGCGAAACAGACCGAATCCCGATTGGGTGTTTCAGCTATGCGCTCAACGTTGCAAGTTACGTCAAAATTAATGCAATGGACGGTCAAGGCTAAATATTGGCTGTCTCCGCAAGATAATAATATACACTTTGCTATTATTTAATTAAATAAAATTATATTGTCATTATTGCACGTCATTTTCCAAATTAATTTTGTTTGGGCACGTGAAGTGGATAAATGAAAGTAAAGTGGTGAAAGAAATCCTTGGTGTAATAAGGTCGAAAATCAAGTGGCATTTGATAGAGAAAGAAAAGCATGCTAGGGAATTTCAAAGGCGTGTGGTTGATAAAATGATAGAAATGAATGGCATGGAAGAAAAATCAGTGAATGAATGTTGGAAAGAAATGGCTTCGTGTATTAGAATGGTGGCGAAGAATGTATTTGGAGAAACGAAAGGTAAAAAAATAAATAAGGATACTTAGGATAAGGATACACTCCACCAAGTGAAGATGTACAAATCATTTTGAAAGAAAAGAAGAATGCATTTAAGGAATGAAAAAGCGTATATGACCATAATGTGACTACTAAAGATAATAAAAGGACAGAATATATGGAGTGCAAGAGAAAGGCTAAGAAAGCGGTAGCTGTCTCTAGGGCGAAGGTCCAGCACTTAACACAAACTTTACCAATCTCTGGAGAGCCCGCACGGACAGAAAGACCTTTACCGACTTTCGAAAGCAAGAGAGAAGAACGCTAGGGATATTGTCCATATCAAATGTATAAAGATAAGTAAATATAATAAATAATAAGATAGAGAGATAAATGAACGCTGGAAAGAATATTTTAGTCGATTAATGAATGAAGAAAATGTCTGTCGGAGTGGAGTGTTAGAGAATGCACCCATTAACGTAGGGGTGGTGGAACAGATAATAATAATAATAATAAACATAATTAAGTATGCATGAAGTAAAAGAAGTGGTCAATAATATGAAAAATAGGAAAGCTGTAGGGCCAGATGGTATACCAAAACATATACATAATTTCAATAAGAGAGAAGATATCCATAATATTAACCTTAGAGCCAAGTTCAAACTCATGGTACTACGATTTCGTTTAACCAAGGTAAACAACTCTTTTATGGGCAACTGTATACGTTTTTACAATAAGATTCCGGAGCATATATTAAGTTTATCATTTCCTAAGTTTAAAAACTACATTAAAAATATTTTGATCGAAAAATCAAGGGAATAAAGCTCATGTCGCATAGTATGAAAGCTTGGGAAAAAGTGATTGTGAGACGAATGAGAGGAGAGAGCGAGATAACCCGGAATCAATTCGAATCTATGCCTGGTACTGGGAGGATGGATGCCATATTCGCTATGTATAGTAGAGCTTGTACGTACGTCCCATCTGAAGCCGGCGTTACCGACCAGTTCAATGTGGCTGTAGGCTTGCACCAAGGATCAGCTTTAAGCCCCTATCTGTTTCTCCTGATTATGGATGCTCTAACATCGGACATACAGGAGGAGGCATCCTGGTGCATGCTGTTCGCCGACGACATTGTACTTGTCGGGGAGTGTCGGGTTGAGGATTAGCCGGTCAAAAACCGAACAGCTTTTCCTCAACTTTGGCGGTGCCTCCAGTTTTACCAATATTGCCTTAGATGGTGTATCCCTACCAGTCTGCTCCGATTTTCGGTACCTCGGTTCATTAATTCAGAACGACGGCGAGATAGACCGCGACGTTAAGAACAGAATACGGGCAGGATGGATGAAATGGCGACAGGTCACAGGCACTATTTGCGATCGGCGAATGTCCCTTAAGCTAACGGGGAAAATTTACAAGACCGTGATTAGACCTGTCATGTGGTACGGATCAGAATGTTGGGCGATGAAAAGGGAGGATGAACGAACTGTTCATGTATCGGAAATGCGAATGTTGAGATGGATGTGTGGAGTGACGAGAAAGGATAAGATAAGGAATGAGTACATCAGGGGAAGTTTGAAAGTGGCGCCAGTGACGGAAAAGATGAGGAGTAAAAGTTAGCGTGGTATGGACATGGAGGGAAGAATGTCATGTGACAAGAAGAGTGCTAGGTATGAATGTGGAGGGATATAAGGGGAAAGGAAGGCCAATGAAAAGATGGATGGATTGTGTGAAAGATGACATGGATAAGAAAGGTGTGAGTATAAAAATGACAGCTGATTCCCTATCAGAGTGGAAGAAAAATACGTGATGTGCCGACCCCACCTAGCGTGGGATAAGGACAGGAAGAAGAAGGTGTAATAAGGCCGTATCTGCAAAATGGCATCTGTTACGAGAGGTTTAAAGGCGTAAATACTAGAAAGTAAAACTATGACTAAATTATATGAATTAAATTGGGTCCACGCGGCAATGTGCCCAAGATGCTGGTAGCGTCCCCCTTTGTATGGCTATGCTAATGATTTGGACTATTAGCTGCCGGCCCTTGCGTTTCTTTAGACAATCAGAAGTTACGAGAAAAAAGAAATTAAGAGGTTATATTTGAGGTTTAAATATTCTACGGACGAAATTAGTTATTAAATTTAAGTGTTTAAATACACACAACACATCCACAATTATATATAATTTATTAAAGCGACATTTCCAGCCAGTTGCTGGTAGCTGTAAAGGTACCTGACTGAGTGAAGAAATAGATTTCTCACAGATGACGCTACGGCAAAAAAGTCGTTAAAAACCAAAAATAAGCAACAAGCATATAGAAATATTCATAAGGTCCGCTAGTTCGTTCCGTGACTTAGTTGGTATAGCACCTGGCACTGTTCGCTAGAAGGCGCTGGTTCGGATCCAGCCGATTGAAGAATTTTTTTTATAGTGTTCGATCTTTGTTGCATTATTATTTATAATAACTAAACGGAATAGTTTTACAAAAATAATTGAATTGGTACCATGGTGGTCAAACATCGCGTGACAATCAATAAACTTAAAAAAATATACATGATTCGTCAAGTAATTCGTATTATTTTTATGATTTTCACGTGTTTAAAGCTTCTGTGACGTATGATCCACATGTGGTTTTATTACAACAAGAATACAACGTACAGATCGTTCGATGAAGCCCAAACCACACAGACCGCTTTGGAAGGGGGCTTATAAACTTATGTCTCAGGGTGACGGGCGTAGTTTTTTTTATTTTTATTTATTTATTTGTGATCGGGTTACAAAAACCTATAATGTAGACTAACATACATATAAAACACTAATGACTAATTATTAAAGACTTACATGTTTAGTTATAACTACTGTCAGTTTTATTTGTATAAAATAAATAAAGAATAAAAACAGCTATTATAGACATTAGTTGTATATCTTAAACGTGTTATATATTTCTCTGTTATTGTGTACAGATACGGCCTGCTAGGTGCATCGGGATGCGGCAAGACTACATTACTTTCCTGCATCGTCGGCCGACGGCATCTCAACGCGGGAGAGATATGGGTGCTGGGGGGTAAACCTGGCACTAAAGGTAAGAATCAACAACTTTCTTCTTATTTAAGAGCTAGGCTCTCGTCAGTGGATTTATCGCCAACCATCTTCTTTGTGTGGACTATATGATTAAAATACCATTGATTGGCATAAAATGCGGATAAGTAAATCAGGAGCACGATACCTTTTAAATGTAACCAGACGCGTGGCCGCTCTGCCCGTGGGTTGAGCGATGTCGTTTCCTGGCCTCGCCCAAGGAGCGGCTCTTGATGGTTTAAAGGTTCACCTACGTTCACTTTGTTCACTATAGATGTGTTTTCAGTGACAATAATAAAATTAGTGAAGCGGTTGCAGCGCGCACACCGTGTTGCATTGTAACTTTTTCCCTTATCTCTGCCTCTCTGGTCGGCATCCAGATGCCCAAACATCATTCCGATTCGGTTCTCTATTGTCTTAAGCTTTAACTTGTACCTTCTAGGCATAATGTCGGGTATGTTCTAAGGTATAGTTTAGGTGTTCATATATATGTTCCATTAAGTCTGTCTTCTATTCAAGCAGGGATAGGCAAAGACCACGAACTTCTTCTATCTGCGTTCCAGACAAACCTCGTTCGTCTTTTCCACTCACATCAACCTCTTCAAATATGCTATACTTTTAACCTGGTCTTTTTTAATAATATCGGAATTTGATCGAGATATATACGTCGAGGTCGACCTCTCCTCATGTTTCCATCTACATATAAATTTGTGTCGTCATTAACATCCATCCTTACTACATGGCGAAACCATCGAAGCATGCCCTTTTGTATTCTGGTATGTACATCATCTTTCAGTTATCAGTGTTCTCTTACTGAGGGTATAAAATTTGTAATAGAAACTTAAAACCACCGAAATTTAGCCACGTAATTGCGGTACTTCCTGTTTCTTTCAACCAAAAATCGCTATTCTGCCGTAAAGATCAACTCTGTCAACAAATAACGATCTCTAATTGGAATCAAGTTAAGACATTGGAAATTCGTAACCGTATAAAAGAACAATTAATAGCTTGTCACACGTATATGTTTCAATTCGTAAAAGGCACTTCGTTTAACATAACCCATCTGTTGTGGCCTTTTTTGCGGCTTGCCATTAAAACGGCCAGCCATACATAGGCTGGCCGTTTTAATGGACGAGGACTGACAGACGGTGCTGTTTTGTTTTAACTAGCGTCACTTGTTGTAAACAACTTTACCAGATTGGTCTAATAAAAAAGGCCTTGACCTGCACTTACACATCGAAATGAATAATTTTACTCATAACTTTAGTCCCTGTCGTTGATTCTGGCTGAAAACCAGCACTTTGGGGAATTTGGGCATATGCAGATTCAGCGCCCTTTCACTGCTATGAAAAAAGGGATAGCTTGCCACAAGTGACTGACATAGATGCAAGGGTATAAAATAACAAACTGCCTGCATACTTATCCCCCGAACGCTATAACTTGGGCCTTTTCAGGGCGAGAGTGAATAGACATTATTTAGGCGTGCACGCTACATCGTCGACTTAATCGTCACTTTGCCTCTGGTGGAAAATGCGCACTTTTTTATAATCATTGATTTCCCAGCACTCCCTTTAATGGCGAAAATGTCCTGGAACCGAGGTCCGTGCCCACTTGAGCGCCTTCAAGTCAACACTTAATAATTATTATATTAAATCTTAAAAGCCTTCATTTCGCCCTTTTTCTTATAGCTCAGTCCAGTACCTAGCCAACTGCTAAATATTCTTCAGAAAAAAATCCTAGCATATTGTACTAAGCTAAACAAATATAATTGCATACTAAGCTGGTGGCTTACTGTATTATGGATACATGCGTGCTATATAACGTTTTCGCTCGAACAGTCATTTACAGCTACAGAAACCGTAATTTTATAATATTCTATTTATGAAATCAAAGTTTTGTTATTCACCAAAATAGTTACAATAGTAATAAAGTTATTAATTTTTTATTATCACTCGTCTTTTATAGTTTGTTTTTACGCACTTTCTGCTCCGAAGTATTTCAACTTTTCATTGTATTTGTTAACAGGTTCAGGCGTGCCCGGAAAACGCGTAGGCTACATGCCTCAGGAAATCGCTCTCTACGGCGAGTTCACTATCAAAGAAACGATGATGTACTTCGGTTGGATCTTCGGCATGGAGACCAAGGAGATCATCGACCGCCTGCGGTTCCTGCTGGACTTCCTCGACCTGCCCAGTGAGAATCGGATGGTGAAAAATCTCAGGTTAGTGTTTCAAACAAACAATGGCTAAGGACCGCAAATATGACAAGTGTTTTTGAATGTATTTTATACAGTGGGCAACCAGCTAAAGTAATATACTCTGTTGGAGTTGTTGGTGAAAATGATTGTACCTTACCTTATTTACATTACCGTTCAAGGCAGTTTAAAAACGTGACAGTGCATATACCTTCACGCTTGGCTGAGTGTAGTCTGTTACTGTATCTTTGTATTTAATGAGCACCCCGGGGCGCTTTCAGTACCATAGACGAAAATATAGACTAAATGGCAACGATGCAAATCATCTCACCTGCTGGAAAGTGAAGATGAGTTCGGCGCTGGAGCATGCACGTCTATATAATGCCTATTCACTCTCACCTTCAAAAGGCCCAAGTTACACCGTTCAGTGAATTCAGTGCCGTACGCCATATAAATATAAACATTGGGATGGAACCCTAGCGTACATCTAGTCCCCCGATGGGAGAAAGGGGATGGCGTAATGATTTCATGCAGTTTCGTTGCACTATGTGATATATATCTCTTGAGGAGTCCAAGCTTCTGTTTCAGCTACCGCAGAAAAATAGCCAGCTTGTCGTTTTTATATCATGCACTTTTTAGAGTATGTTCCGTTCCTCGTAAAAGTCCGGAACACTCCATCCAAAGTCAAAGTCAAAATGCGGATAGGTATCATATTACCACCTATTCCCAAAAATACCAATTTAAGCGAATCAAGATTAGAGCGAATAGACGGTTACTATTCGACAAACCTGTAACATCGTGGGCCACATTGTCGCTTTACATGAGGTAAGGTACCTATTTCTGCCGCCAAGTACTCACTACACAGTGAGCGTTATTGCGTTCCGGTTTTGAAGGGTAAGGGTGCTGGTGAAGTTATAAGAACTGTCAACTTATGTCTCGGGATGACAGGCGTAGTGGCAGTGTCCATCAGATCTTAGTAATGCAAAGCTCTGAGCGGCGCAACTGCTATGGACAGGCGTGTCGCGTACGACCAAGCGCACATCTTGTTCGTCCCGTCACTAGATAGCCTTGTTTCCGGAAGCGAAAGGAGCTTGTTTAAAAACTAAAATAAAACTACAGTTAAGCTTAACTAGACAACCGGTAGAGTTGGATGCCCGTCGTTTAAAGTGTGGTCTCATCGATGCATTTGCTACTCTGAAACCTTATCTACTTCAGAGCTAAGCACCACAGGATGTTTGCACTCTTAAGTTTTAGCGTAACCTGCCTGCTAGCTGCCTACATTGGGATGTACCTGTGTCGTTATGCCGAACTCTATATTTTTGCTTCTATGGTGGGGGGACGATCCGGGTGCATAACTAGGTATCATGCAATTTTTCTTTAATTATTTTTGTTTTGTAAATTTATGCCATTGATTATGTAGACCAAAAAGTATACGTCAAAACTTTACAAATAAATTACAGATATGTTATTTGACTAAACATTTAAATCATTATTTTATTTGTCTTCTCAACAAAAGTTACTAAGACTCATAAGAACGTTATAGGTAAATAAACAGGCTCCTTAAAAGGCCATTCCAATATTAGCTACACCATGGCGTCACAAAAGAGATAAGTAATTCTAACACTCTGTCATGGAAATTTAAAGAAATACGTGCTACAGGTACAATTAAGTACAAACATAGTGAAAAATACAGGAAACAATATTATTTACATGTAAACATTAAGGAAGTTACCATTTACCGACGTGGAATCACCTGGAGCCTGTCAGAAAAAGCTTTATATCTGTGCAATAAGAATGAAATAGACATACACACACTTATCCTTTGGATTCCCATTGGGTTGGGTAGAAACTACGGATCATCCCTTTGCAAGATGCTCACAAACCTCACCCACATTCTTCTAACTTTTCATACTAGGGCTAGTATGAAAAGTTAGTTGTGTTTGTTTGTTGTGCGTAATCGGAAGGATTGGAGGGCTCCAATCCTTCCGATTACGCACACCAGTCCTCTTAATAATAATACTTCACAAATTAATTTAAGCATTTGCCATTCACGAAGTTTAAGACTATAGTGAAAGAAATACTTTGTACATACATCTTCTGTGCGACCCTTTTCGTGGGTACACACGGCAATTTTTAGCAGCGATGCGAACGCGATAATTAACTATTTTATTTATTTCATGCATTTATTTATTTCACTTTTAAATTTACAATTAACAAAACAAAGTAATGTGCTTAAACCTATACATATTTTTTGTACATAATTACTCAACATTAGCGACTGTATCGATGCAGTCGAGCGTTTGCATCGATCCAATCGCCTTTAAGTCACAAGTGTAGCGATGCAATCACATATTTCACGACCGCTGCTATAAGTCCGTGTGTAACCAATCTTAGTTCTATATAGCAGGTTATCTCGATCTATGATGTTAAAAATGTATATTATATGATAAATGTGCACAAATGTTTATTTAGAAATAACAACGCCTAGAGTTTCCTGCTCGTTCTTCTCCTTACCTGTCAAATAAAGATTCTTTGACTTTGAATTTAATAGAACTAAAATTTATTTATGTAGTATTTAGACGAACTGGTAAAATAATGTAAAAGATAAACATTAAAAGTTAACAACCATGCACGAAGTAACATTTTATGATTACCATTTGTATAGCTGTTTATATACTATGTTACTAATTTATATTTCAAAACAACGAATTAACACAGGTTTAACTAAAAGTATGGTAATGAAAACATAATTCGTTTATAAGAAAACGTAACTTTATTTATCATCACAATTATTATTCGCTCTCTAGTAAAATGTAGTATAAAACACATGTCTTCCTTCAAAACGGGCCCGAACAACCGATTACATGTAGGAATTTAAACCGCCGGTGTTGCCTTTTTATATGTCGAAATTATATCTAAACTAACAGAAAAATATTCAATCATGACAGGATTATTAAGTTCGCGTTAGTAAAAAGTATAAATTTAAATATGATGATGGTAAGTTTTTTGTCAAAGTTGTTTTTAAAAGTCTGATCACCGGCTGAAATCTCGTGATACTTTTTTAACTGCCTGTATAAAAAGTGACGTTAGGTTTACTGGTGAAGCTTTATATACAAAAATATTTACATTTTTTAATGTACATTTAAAAGCGTTTGTTAGCGATACTTCTCGCTAACTTTGAAGAAAAACATCTTGATGAAACCAATCCACGTCAAATAAGGCTCAAAACTAAAACTAAGGCTGGGAAAACGTTTCGAGTCCTTAGGGACATAGGGACAAACGTTTGCCCACATTGGGCAAACGTTTCGACCTGTGGCTTAAATCCACTTCTTAAAGACGACCTGTGCTCAACCACGGGATGAGCCACGGTTAATGATAATGGAGACGCGTCTACAACTAAAAGGGTAATTCTGAAAAACAGCCGGACTTCTATAGATGATGTCAAAACTTTACTTACTTTTTCCGTAGAAACTCGTAAGTAAGTAAAATTATAACACACAAGCAATATTTAAGGTATATTTTGTTAATAATCCATGGCAACATACTCGAACAAAAGCCTAACAAATGCTACAAAACAAAAAACCAAAAAAGATAGAATAGAAGTAGCCAAGTACCGCTTATATTTTAACCAATTTTTTTTTATAACGGTTTGTGGCCCGATTTCAAGATTTTTAAGCCAATTTTACCAATCAGAATGCAGTAAGTAGAGAGTTTGAGTAACGTCATGTTTGATATTTTAATTATCAAACATTTTCTTTTTCTACACAAAACTACAAGAGTTGCAAAATTTCATTACAGGTATACAGAACACAGAACTATATGAAATTTTTTAGTTTGGTAGCCATAGACAATAGAATTTTGATTCAGAACTAAAAAGAACGCCTTTGTGATATGGTTTATTATTATAATTGACGGATTACAATATAGGAGTATATTAAAATATTTTTTTTTTGTATTAGGGGTTAAAGTATGAAATTGCCGTTTTATTGCAATAGGTTCTTTGAATTTTCATAGAATCTTCATGGTTTGAGGTTTTCGAATGAAACTTTTTTCAAATGGTTTCTGTGATTTTTTTTTTTAAATTTGAAACATTTGAATATCGACTTTCAATTGTTTTTGTTATTCAATTTAGACAAGAAAGATGGATACTGCGAAAATTCGAGTGATTTTTGAATACGAGTTCCGACGCGGAACTAACGCGGCAGAAACAGCCCGCAATATCAATGCTGCGTTTGGAGAGGGGTCTACTAACGAACGCACCGTGCGATTTTGGTTTAAACGCTTTCGTGATGGAAATTTCGACTTAAAGAACGAGCTACGAGGAAGACCGCCCACACAGGTGAATAACGATGAATTAAGAGAGATAGTGGAAGCCGATCCTAGTCAAACTACCCAGGAATTAGCGGCATGGTTTAACGTTACCTTACCCACAATATTGACTCACTTGCGTCAAATCAATAAAATAAAAAAATACGAAAAATGGGTGCCTCATGATTTGACTGATCTGCAGAAAGAAACGCGTGTTGAAACTTGTGTTGCCTTGTTGAACCGGTACAGAAATGAAGGAATATTGGATCGAATTGTAACATGTGAAAAGTGGATTCTTTATGATAACCGGAAAAGAAAAATGCAATGGCTGACCCCAGGTCAAATGCCACAACAGTGTCCTAAAGCAAAACTTACCAATAAAAAGGTAATGGTAACTGTTTGGTGGTCTCAGCATGGTGTTATTCACTATAGTTTTCTCCGATCTGGTCAAGCAATAACGGCAGATGTCTATTGTGCCGAACTCCGAACCATGTTGACAAAACTAGCAGTAAAACAGCCCCGACTCATGAATCGATCTTCACCATTATTGCTCCACGACAACGCGAGACCTCACACAGCACGAGAAACCATTTTGACCCTTCAGGAACTGCAGTTAGAAACCATTCGTCATCCTCCGTATTCACCAGACCTTGCTCCAACGGACTACCATTTTTTTCGTGATTTGGACAATTATCTACGTGACAAGAAGTTTTCTTCCC